GGAGGAGATGGATTGTTTAAGTTTAGACTTTGGAGTTAGAGATATTAATATTTGTTTACTTGTATTTGAATATCAGCCTAGGTTGGTTTGGGAAGTCCGGGGGGTGGGGGGATGGGATATAACATTGTGTAATATCTGTGATGTATTTCTTTTTTTTTTTATGATAAAAATAAAAATTTTATATTGAAAAAAAAAAAAAAGAAAAAAGAAACTGGTGCTGGCTGGAGTGCAGATATCTTCCTTTCTCCCCCCCACCCCCCACCCCATTTGAAGACCGGGGAGATCATGATTTTTCTTGGGATTGCGGGTATAATTCAGAGCTCCAGCTATCACAGTGGGAGCATGTTGGGTGGGGAAGGAGATCTGATACATTTATGAGCGGTGAGGGGAAAATCTGCAATTTGAGACTGAGTACTGAGCAGAAGCATCTTCAAGATCTGATCTGATTAGTCCACTTTGTTGGTTGTACTACCAGGTAATCAAATGAAATGTCTGACCTGAGGGTGGAATGAGAGAGGTCAGGAGAGGGCTGATAAGTGTGTGAAAGGAGCAAGTTTAATATTGTGACGGATAATGGACACAGAGACATATGGTGGGACACAGGGAGTGGACCAATCTTGGGGAAAATGGACTCAGCATGCTGTACTAATTTCACATTCCAGCCTCCTATACTTGTTCCCAAGGTCTGATCATTTGATCTTCAGTGGTCAGAATCCTTGGCTGCTGCTATTGAATTCCAGGTCAGCCCGTAATAAGGTTTTCCTCAATCATGATTTAATAGTGGGGGAGAGAGCCAAGTTGGTATATATTACAAAAACTTGGTTAGGTGCATATGGGGTAATCCCTTCTTAGAAACCAATTGATTACAAGTATGGCATCAACCGGGACCCTAGGCAGGGGACGGGAGGTGGAGTGGCCATTGTCATTCAAGAGACCTTAGTGATGTTTACAGGCACTGCCATACAGATAAACTGGGTATGAGATCCTGCTTGTATAGTTAGGCTCGTGGGAACAGATGCTATCGCATGAACTTCCCTGCTATATAGTGGCTTGCCTACTGGAGCTCCTCCGTGCTGTGTGAAGTTGGGGGGGGGAGTGGAGTTGCCCAGGACTATGGCCCTGGCCTTGAAGTCAAAGGCATTTCGGGAGCTCATGACTACCATGGCAACTATGGACTTAACCCAGATTATTGACAACCATCCAACTTCAAAAAATGTAAGTGCAGAGAAACAATTAAAGGAGAGATAGTAATTGGAGCCCAGTAGCATATAAATCTAACAATTACCATCAGCAGCCAGGCCCTCCACAATAGCTGTGATAATATCACATTTCCATAACAACAATCTTATCAGTTAATAAGAGATTGGAACCATACGATTTGGTACCGAATTTAAAAACCTTTGTTGACTGATTAATTTAGAATCTGTATGTTTTCTCCCATACATACTGCAAATAGGAAACAGCATTGATTGTTTAATTTTTTAATCTTAAAAGCCAGTAACTTTCCATTAAGTACAAAAAATTATAACTCAGTGGTATACAACTTGTAAAATTCAAATGAACAGAAACTAAATACAGGTAGTCCTCAACTTACCACAGTTCGTTTTGTAACTGAAGATACAACAGCACTTGAAAAAAGTGACCTATGACTGTTTTTCACACTTATGACCATTACAGCATCCCCTTGGTTATGTGACCAAATTCAAATGCTTGGAAAGTGATTCATATTTATGACAGTTGCAATGTCCTTGGGCCATGTAGTCACCTTTTGCGACCTTCTGACAAGCAAAGTCAATGGGTAAGCTAGATTTACTTAACAACTGGGTTACTAATTTAACAACTGTGGCAAGAAAGGTCTTAAAATGGAGCAAACTCAATAAGTCTCACTTAGCAACAGAAATTTTGGGCTCAATTGTGGTTATAAAAAGTCAGGGACTACCTGTATCCAGAATTATGGATCTCATCAACCTCTGCCTTATCACCTACTTTCAGTTCTATTGACAGATATGCCAACAAATCAGAGAAACTCCCATGGGATCATCACTCTCAAGACTTACAGCAGAGACTATAATGCACTGTCTTGAAACTACACCACTTCCACACATACAACCAGAAATATGGATCCGGTATGCAAATGACGCCTTTGTCATAATAATAAAAAAGGAACTAGGAAAGACTCAAGAAGCAATCAACAACATCTTTAAAGGAATAAAATTCATACCCATTACCCTTTCTGGATGTCCTCATCACTAGATGAAACACACAAATAAATTCATGTTCTCATCATAACGCTAAATCATAATAAAGCAAAAAGCCCAGTAGTTCAAAAAGAAAAAAATATGAATCATCTAAACATACAAATTAAAGACTGTAACAACTACTACATAGGGCAAACAGGCAGAAGTCTAGCACAACACATAAATGAACACCAGCTAGCAGTCAGAAGACATCATGAAAACTCCTTAATTTCACAATACATGGGCATACTTCCAGCTCGGAAACTGTGAACCTTCTAAACCATGTCCAATCCAAAAATGCCAGAAGTTTGGCATTCAGACAAATTAGCCATCAATAGACATATAGAAACCGTATTACACACCATTCAAAAGAGACAACAAAAAGGGCGGGGGGACACCAGAACACATCCTCTCCAATAGTCAACACCCAAATAAGCAGAGATTAATACCAAATAGAAAACAATAAACTAAACAAGGTAATACCAAGGAGAAAACCACACTCCCAGTAACACCAGGAGCAGAAGCTATTATACAGGTAGTCCTTGATTTACAACCATTCACTTAATGATGCTTCAAATTATTGACAGACTCAAAAAGGGTGTTTTACTTCTGACCATCACAAAGACTGCACACATGTTCATAGTCAGATGATCACAATCTGGGTGCTTAGCAACCGATTTGCATTTATGATCTGTTTGCCAAGCACACCATGATGATGCAATCACCATTCTGATATTCTCTGCCAGCTTCCCCAGAAAGTCAGTGGGGAAGCCAGCAGGAAGACTGCAAATGCTGATATTTGTGAAGAGAATTCCCTCTCAGTCTGGGGGTTGGGTGAAAGAGCTGCTTGCCAGAAAATTTCAGTTCTGTGCCTCCTTGGATTTAAGGGGAGCTGAAATCCAAGCAGGATTTTCAGCCCGAGTGGAGAGGTTGTATAGTAAGTAGCATAATGTGCCTCAGGGAGGTGTGGGAGGCCCTGGCAGTCCCAGCAAAAGCCACACATAAGTGTCTCTCCACTGACAAGTGAAGTCAATGGGGAAGCCAACAGGAGTTTGCAAATGGTAATACGTGACCATAAAACACTGCAACCACTTGAGATTCACCCTAACAGTATCAACTGATACTGTTATCTTAAGTTCATGCAGTCATGTGACGTCACACCTTAAGATTGTGTCACCTAGTGATAGAGCTCCCAGTCCCAATTATCACTGATGAGCAAGGACTACCAGTATAGTCTGCTACACTAATATCTATCTAAACTGGAAATTTAAATGTATATTCCTATCTACAGACTTTTTTCTACGAAACAATGAATACAGCTTTTTAAAATCTAAAGAGAAAGATGAGTCTGCAAGTTGAACAGTTCAACTCCAACTGACAATTATGATCTGTGATAGCCTTGGGGTCTCAACTAAATACAGCTATTTAGTCATGTGGCAGAGTGTGATTATAAATAGAGAACAAAACCATGGATTTTGAGGTTAAGTTAGCTAAATCCTATAATTACAGCCTATTTGTTACTATCAAAATGAACAGGATCCAAGAATCTTCAATTCACAAGATTCTCATTAAATCAGCAAAAATGAACAGGTTTTTTGTTGCAAACATGCTGTTACAAATGGAACAGGAAGAATCATGGAAAGGTTCTATCCAGCTCTTCATATTTCAAGACAAGAAGTTTTAACTCTTTAAACTAAATGCAACTTTTTCTAAGAGCACACAGATGCTTTAAGGAGTTGTGAACAAGCATTGTTTGTATTATGTGTTTTAAAGCAGGGGTCCCAACCCCCGGTCCGTGGACTGGCACCGGTCCACAGCATGCCAACAAGCGGGCCACACAAACAAACAAAGCTCCATCCTTGGGATGCAGGCAGTATTCATAACCATACCCCCTCTGGTCCACGGAAAAACCTTTCTCCATGGCACCGGTCCCTGGTGCCCAAAAGGTTGGGGACCTCTGTTTTAAAGCACCTTTTTGCCTTCAGATCTAAAGTACTGCATAGCATTGCCACAGAATTGTTTTAAAATAAGGTCCTTTCAAGTGAAAGAAAATTGATCATTTTTGATAGAAGATACAGAGAGGGTAAGAGAACATAACTTAAAGCACAAACCAATAACTTAAGTTAATATATGCAGAATTGAAATATGGAGCAAGTAATACAAAGCAGCTGAATTTTTGATAACTTATTACTGCAGCTAACATAAGAAACATTAATAGAAGGTTGAGAGAGCAATTATGAGATCAAACTATAAAATAATAACTATTTCAAAGTAAACCCAATTAATTAATGGGATTTAAGTTAACATACACATAACTGAACTATGTAGCAAGTAATACAAAGCAGCTAAATTTTTGATAACTTATTACTGCAGCTAACACTGGAAACATTAGAAGGTTGAGAGAGTAATTATGAGATCAAATTATAAAAGAGTAAAATTAAATACTTGGTGATACCTTTCTCACTCTGTTTACATATAAATTTACATGTACATACATATGCATGCAATTGTGTGTGTTGCATACGTGCACAGTGTTCTAATTGCTTTAAATTAGGGTCTCTTAAACTGCTTCAGTTTGCAAAATATTGGGAGGCTAGGGTTTGCTTTGGGTGCCTTGTCTTCAAGCATACCCACAATGAGATAACTGAACCTTGTTTCCCTTCCCCGTGCCATCTTCAAAATGAGAATCAGATCTGATGGCCAGAGCTCTGCATAGAAATCTCACACCTCTAGTATGACTCTGCCTTGGAAGGCGAACACAGTACAGAACCTGGAACTGTCCCATTCCTTTGTATTAAGCTAATACAGTAAGTTTGCTCTGAAAGGAGCACAAAGACAGCACTCACTAGTGACCCCCCCATTTCCTGTCTCATGACCTAGAGATGAAACACATCCTTTGAGAACTTTGTCTTAAAGGATGTCTAATGTACACATTTTCTCATATAGAAAGGAATATTGTTAAGATGAAGTGTATTAGACAAATACGATCTAAACATAAAGTCTAAGTCATGCTTACAATATAAAAATTTGACAGATTTTGATTTAGAATGTAAAATGTAACTCAAGACTTTAACTTTCAAGACTTTTTCCGCTACGTATTCTAAAATGATCTGTGATTAATATGTGTGTGTGTGTGTGTGTGTGTGTGTGTGTGTATGCATGCGTGTGTGTATTCATTCATTCTTTTGAGAGCGGGCATGATTTTAATGTGTGCCAGTGTGTTTATACAAAAAAATGACAATAAAGGTTATTTTAAAATTTCCTTAATTTACATTACAATGCTATATATTCACAAAATCAAGTGTTAGTATTATAAAAATCAACAAAGGTTTCAAAAGCAAACTCAGTACTGATCTAACAAGGCTGCATTTTAATGACAGCACCTTCAATGTACAATTACTTCCTGCAAGTTTTTCTTTAAACTTAATTGATGCTGCAACCACTGTTTTTGCCAGTTACAGAAAGCAAAACAGTATGTAAAAATAGAGGTAGATTCTGTTTTGCAGCATGAGTATCCCAAATTAATGGATACTTTTTCCTTTTAAGTATTTATAGGATGACCCAAACCCTAAAGCTAATACTATAGGATGTACACAGCTTTTTGGTGTTTATTTAAAGGAAACTGGAAACTATACCAGTATTATAAATTAAAACATATCAGAATCTTTATTCAGATCTCTCAACACTGCAGAAGATTAAGATGGCCTTTCAGATATGTGATTACTATCCCCAACATTTTCAGCAGACTAAGATTCATAGGAACTATTAACTCCATGTATCTGCTCACTTAAGGCCCACCTTCAAAAAGCTAGGTTGCTCAATTAAGCCAATGACATTGACAGTTATGGATTTCAAACTGGAGTAGTCAACCTACACAAATCAAAAAGCCTCCAGTATAATTCAAAGCTACACTTTTAACATATAGCTTTTTCTACAAGTCTCCTAAGCTGAAGAGAAGAAGGAGCGACTTCCTAATCTTTATACTGTAATCCTCTTCGACCTCTCTGGGAGGGATATTTTAACAAGCAAAGTCAGAGCTCCTTCGGGAAAGCCGCCACCACCACGATTTCACTGCCATTTTCCTTTGTGTGCGTGTGTTTGTGTGTTTTTTAAGAAAAAAATGTAAAACAAGTTACTCACAATCATCTAAGTCATCCTGCAAATCCACAAAATACAAAGGGATCCCTACAAATGATGAAAACAAGAGTAAGAAAGAGAGAAGACACGCGGGGGGGGGGAGGTTGTGTTGTTGCTGTTGTTGCTCCACAAGACCGGGGGGGAGGGAACGGGTGGGGGGGAGGAGGGCAGGCATAAAACGCACAAATGAAAGCCTGAAGAGCAGCGCACGAAACAGCCCCCAAGACGCCACGGCACCGCCATCTTCAAACAGCCTCCGACCCCAAGCAGCAGAAAGACCACATTTAAAGCCGGCGGAGGAGAGCAGGGGAGAGAGAGAGACGGGTAAGCAGGTCGCCACAAGCAGCCCGCGAAGACCCCCCCAGCCCCACCGCTTACCAGCCATTTTGAAAGGCGCATGGGTGGGGGAGGAGACCGGGGCCCCGGAGAGGACGGCCGAAAGGAGGAGCCGCCGGCTATCCCGGTCGCCCGGGGCAGCGCCCTGCCTCCGCCGCTCGCCCGCCCGAAATCAAACGTCAAGGGCGGTTTCCATGGGCCGAGCCTCTTCCCCGCCGCTCCTCCTGCCCCGGGTGGCCGCCCTGAGGCAGGGCAATCGAACGGCGTTGCGGCGAGGACTGCGCGCAGCCGAGGCGCCTCGAGAGCGAGAGAGGCTGCCCGCGCGCCAAGATGGGCGTTCCTTCCTTCCTTCCTTCCTCCCTCCCGGATTAGGTCACTGGGAAAGGAGGCGGAGCGCCGTCACGTGACGCTCGTCGCGGGGCTGTCCAAGATGGCGCACGGCCTGTGGGTTCTGAGGAGAAGGAAGAGACGCGTTCACCTGTAGCCCGGAGCCGAGGGCAGGGCGCAGTCTGGTTCTTTGGGCCCGCCCTGCGAGGCCTCTCCTTTTCGGCCGCCTTCTCCGGGGACTCCGCTGGGCAGCTGCGGGGCGGCTTTTCCCATGTGAGTCCCGCGAAGGGTGATGGTGTGGCCGGACGGCGCCCGCGGTTCCTAAAAGCGGCGGCGACCCCTCGTTCTCCAGCGATGGCTTTGCGGGAGCTGAAAGTTTGCCTCCTTGGGGTGAGTGGAAGGGGCGGGAGAAAACAAGCGAGGCTTCTCTTTCCTCCTTGGTTAAAAGCTGCTTCAAAAGTTCGTTTTGGATTTTCGGCGGCGCCTTCCTCGGAAGAAGAAAGGGGTGTTTGCTCTCCGTGGAGCTCGGCTGTGGTTTTCTCCGGTAATCGTTTCGTTAGTGGTGGGGCTGGGGGAACCATAGCTTAGAACTGGAGGTCGTTTGTTTTCTTCCCCCCCCCCCTTCCCCAGAGAAGTGCCTGAACAGCTTTCACCCCAATTCTCGGCAGGTTTCAAAAAGGCGTATCCCAGGTCAGTCTTTTTAGGATTATCGTCTGACAGACAGCCCTTTGACTTCTGAACTTAACAATATGGATTTGGGTGGTGACGCTCCTTTTATTTTATTTTTTTTCATCTTTTTTAACTTCAAGCAGCTCCTCATAATGCATTTATTGAGAGTCCAGCCTGAGCTCCCTCTGTAGGAGTTCTTTCCAAATGTGTACTCAAGGCTGCAACTTTTAGAGGTTTTGTTCTTTCTTGGAGAGGAAAGGTATTTGGTAATTTGTTCTCCCAACACTATTCCACAATAATTATTTGCAATATTTCTGTAAAAAAACAGTGCTTAAAACATATGTGCAAACTCCCGGTTGACAGATTTTGAGAGAGGTTTTTAAAATTCATTTAAAGGGTATGCAACAAAATCCTTTATCTTAAAAAAAAATGGGGTGATGGTTAAGACTACAGGAACATTAATAATAATAATAATAATAATAATAATAATAATAATAATAATAATAATAATAATAATAATAATAATAATAATAATAATAATAATAATAATAAAGTTGGAAGGGACCTTGGAGGTCATCGAGTCCAACCCCCTGCTCAGGCAGGAATCCTACACCATTTCCGACAAATGGCTGTCCAGTCTCTTCTTAAAAACTTCCAGTGTTGGAGCATTCACCACTTCTGGAGGCAGATTGTTCCACTGGTTAATTGTTCTAACTGTCAGGAAGTTTCTCCTTAGTTCTAAGTTGCTTCTCTCCTTGATCAGTTTCCATCCATTGCTTCTTGTCCTGCCTTCAGGCACCTTGGAGAATAGCTTGTAAAAAGTTAATACTTAAAGAACGTAATTTGAATTAAAGCCAAATTCTGAGAGAGGTTTATAGGAGAAAAATATACAATTTTCCTGAAAAGCAATATTCTCTGTTTACCAGAATTGTTCTGCATATAAAGGAGTTAGTCAACATTCACTGTGCCCTATGATTGGTACAAGTAGTCCTTGATTTACAACAGTTCATTTAGTGACTGTTCAAAGTTGCAACGGTGCTGAAAAAAGGGACTTATGACCATGTTTCACACTTACAACATTGCAGCATCCCTGTAGTCACGTGATCAAAATTCAGATACTTGGCAACTGGTTCATATTTATGACCATTGCTGTGTCCCAGGGTCATGTGATCCTGAAAAGCAAAGTCAATGAGGAAACCAGATTCACTTAACAACCCTGTTACTAAATTAATAGCTGCAGTGACTCACTTAACAACTGTGGCAAGAAAGGTCATAAAACGGGACAAAACTCAAATGTTTCACTTAGCAACATAAATTGGGCTCAGTTGTGATCATAAGTCGAGTACTACCTATATAGAATAAGGCAGAATATTTCATATATTATACATTAAATGGAGAAGAATATGCATATTTTTAAGAACTTTGAAACAAACATACCTTTCCTTTTTCTTTAGAAATCCAGGTAGTCCTAAACAACCATTTGTTTAATGACAACAGCTCTGAAAAAAATGATTTATGACTATTTTTCACCCAACCATTGTAGCATCCCCATGGTCATAATTCAGGCACTTGGTAACTGGCATGTATTTATGACAGTTGCACTGTCCCGGGGTCATGTGATCACCATTTGTAACCTTCCTAACTGGCTTCTGGCAAGAAAAGCCAATGGGGGAAGCCATATTCACTTAATGGCAGTATGATTCACTTAACAGATGCAGTGATTTGCTTAACAACTGTGGCAAAAAGTTGTAAAATGAGGTGCAACTCACTTAGCTGCCTTCTTTAGCAACATAAATTTTGAACTGAATTATGGTTGTGAGTTGAGGACTAGCTGTACCAGCCTTGCTGAATCCCAGGATCTTCAGCTAAAACTGTTATAATCTCTTTACAAAAATGTGAAGTCACAGCTGCCAGTTCTTTCCAAGAACCTAGGATGTTGTAATGTATCCATGTATTGTTCTTATCATTATTTTGTCCTGCCTTTTATATATATATATAAATCAAGGCACCTCCTATTTACCCATAACAACAATCACGTGATATGGATTGTATTGAAAGAGTCACCCAGCCGGTTTTCGTGTCTAAGGGAAGACTGCAACTCACAGTCTCCTGGTTTCTAGCCTATCACCTTAACTACTACATCTTAAACTTTTTAAAAAAAAATATATTTACCTTTGGCATAAATGTTGACCAAATGTTCAAGCCATTTCTTCCAAAGTCATGACATTAGTGTTAATGATGGGGATGTGGGGTTATTGTTTTTACTCTTTGTATATTGAGGTTTTATTTTTTGTATAATATAAATTAAATAAATAAAGTCATAGATGCAACATTAGCATTGGGTATTCATTTGTGAAAAAATCATAGGCTTTTTGTCCAGTTTAGCTTGTTTATATTTGTACACAAAATAAATAATTACAGAAACATCACTATACTTTCTGAAATACTTAACCCATACCTGCTTAATGTTTTTTCCTCCTCAGGTATATGAATTCATATGTAGCCTTTCATTAAATAGGGAGAGGTTGAATGAGTAACAACACCCTTTACTAACATCCTTGAAATACCTAAAACACCTTCTTTCCTATCCCAGTTGTTTAGTTAGTATACATATTTTTAGGGTGGATCATTTATTTGTATAGTTGTTGAAATTAGTCTCTGGTAAAGTATATTACCAGAGTATATATTATGGTACTATGTTTACATGGCAAATGTTTATTTGGGAAAACATAGAAGTACTGTGTTATCTAAAATAACACTCTAGCAATAGACAATATGAAGGCCATTTAACTACTTGCTGCTATTGAAGTTGCAGTGTCAGTTCAATAGCCCTTGTGTTTATGTGGTCCAGAAAGTTGGGTTCACTGAGAAGTTACTTATGAGTGCATATATAGCCCATATTTTGTTCATCTTGGACAGAACAAAATAATATGACAATTTAATGCATATTTACTCAGAAAGTTCAAAATGTTTGTACAGTATAGTAGCTTTGCTCTATCATTTATTATTATAAATTTTATAATAAATCATTATCCTATGTTACCTTAGACTGTTGATTATAGTAGATTCAAATAAAGTGCAGGTAGTCCTCAACTTACGCCCACAATTGAACTCAAAATTTCTGCTGCTAAGTGAGACATTTCTTAAGTGACATTTGCCCCATTTTATTTATTTATTTATTTATTTATTTAATTGCATTTATATCCCGCCCTTCTCCTTGCGGACTCAGGGCGGCTGACAATGATTAAAATACTAACATATACATCTAATTAAAAATTGATTAAAAAGAAATATTTAGATACGTCAAATTTAAAAGTAATTAAAGCCCCATTTTACGACCTTTCTTGCCACTATTGTTGTTAAAAGAATCACTGCAGTTGTTAATAGCATGGTTGTTAAATGAATCTGGCTTCCCATTGACTTTGCTTGTCAGAAGGTCACAAAAGCTAATTTCTTTTTCCAAAAAATATTTTGATCCTGGAGCACTACAACCGTCATAAATATGAGTCACTTGCCAAGCATCTGAATTCTGATCATGTGACCATGCGGATGCTGCAACAGTTGTAAGTGTGAAAAATGGTCATCAATCACTTTTTTCAGTGCTGTTGTAACTTTGAACGGTCACTAAACAAACTGTTGTAAGTTGAGGACCACCTGTAATGTTTCTGGTTCAGATATTAAGTTGCTAGTTGACATTTTAAGAATCCTTCTTTATCTCTTTAATTGTTTCAAATGATATTCACTGGATAATGTTTAGATTAAGTTAGTTTTTGTAAAAAGAAATTGATTTATCCCAATTCATAGAAGTTGGATGGAAAATGCTGAGACTAGAGCTCCTAGAAATGCAGATAGGAAGATTGAAGCTTAAAATTACCTGTTTTGTTTCTCTTTAAGGACACAGGTGTGGGCAAATCAAGCATTGTATGGCGCTTTGTAGAAGACAGCTTCGATCCAAACATCAATCCAACAATTGGGTAAGTATCTAAAATCAGCCTCTGCCTACTGGACTGGGGTCCCAAGGAGGAGTGGCATCTTGGAGATGGTTAATGGATTAGATACTTATTCCCTTCTTCCCAGCTTGATTAATTGAATTTTATCTGAATTTTAAATGTTTGGTTTTTATTTATTGTTTTAAGGTTTTCTATCCTATTTTAATTTTATGAGTATAAGCTGCCTAGAATCACCTCGACAAAGTGGGCAGCATAGAAGTTTAATAATAATAAAAAACAGAAGTTCATATAAAACAATTAATGAGCTAGAAAGCTAACAGTTATATAAAGTTTGTTTTTTTCATAATTTTATTAAAGATTTTAGTTAGAGAAAATATAAACTAAACTTGCTGACCTCAACATGTGGCCGGACACTTGCAGACAGATGGTTCCCCAAATAGCCAGGTCCTATGGCATGAAGGGCTTTATAGGTGATAACCAAAATCTTGAGTGAAATCTAGAAGCCAACTAGCAGCCAGTGCAGTTCTCAAAGCAGCAGAGACATCATTGCACATGCCACTGTATTCAGGGCCAGCTTTATTTTCCAAGTAGTCTTCAAGGGCAGCCACATGTAGGGTCCAATCAAAAAGTAACCAAGACTTCAGTGACTATCTGAAAGACTTCCCATTCTAGGAACAGGTGCAACTGGCACACTAAATAAACCTGTCTGAAGGCTCTCTCGGCCACAGCTGCCATCTGCTCTTGTACAGGAGCTGTGAGTCCAAGAGGACCCTCAGATTTCACAATAGTCTCTCATGGAGAACTTCAATATAATTAATGACTAGATAGAATGTCCTAAGAACAAGGGAGGGGAGGGGATGTCAAAGAAACAATGTCACTTGATTTGTAGGATTGAACTGTTGTATCCAGGCCTATACAAGCAGGCACTGAATCAGGACAGCATAATCTGATCAAATCAAGACTGAGATGTGAAATTGGATATCATCAGCACATTGACCTTACCCAGTGGTTCATGTAGATATTAACAAAAGGGTAGAGTGTCAAGCCCTATTGTACCCACATGTCAGAGGCTGATAATGTGACCTCTTACCCCATCAGCACTGAATGAAACTGGCAAGGTTTTATATTGGAGTCAGCTATCCTGCACAACTAGTCAATTATCTATCTTTAAATAATAACGATAAAAGGGTTGAATAGTGGCAGAGCAACTTCAATGGAGATGACTTTTAGTACTGATTATTGTTGGATGAAGTGCTATAAAATAATATTTCCATATAGAGCTCTTCAGGATTTATGATAAATCATTCATTGATAAGGATCAAATTCTAACTGAAGAATGAGAACTCAAAGAATTCCCTTGAAAGAAAAAATGGGTACTTGTTAAGTTTACCTTCTGTAGGAATAATGTAAATAATATTTACAAATATTTCTAGAAAGAATAACCATTACTGATATTTTATTATTTTTGAGAAATGATTATGCCATAACACATTTTAGATTACTATAAACTAGTATATTTGGTAAATTGGGTCATGGATCTTGCCACCTCCTATTTTGTAGATAATTAGTGTAGAAGTTATACTGTCAGATTGCTGCTGCAGATTCAACACAAGCTGAAGTATCTTTACATTGTCAGACTATTATACAAATGTTTTCTTTGTTACAGACCAGTAAAGTCTCGTGTTTGCACATTTTGCTTTTAACTGACTTGTATCATAGATACTGTACGTCATTCTATTTCAATAAATGTTCCTCCAAACATGCTACCTTCAGAGGAATTCAAGAGCCAATTAATTCACTGGGGAAAAAAAGAAATAAAATTTACAAATATTTCTCTAATTGCTTATGATTGATCATTTGGTCTTCAATTATCCTAAATTTATTTCTAAATTTTAAAATGCAAGGTTCAAATAGCAAATTAGGGGTTGCCTAATTTACATAGGTTAGTAGTGAATACACTAAATAAGGCAAGATTTGCAAGAACACCTATCTCCTGCTATTTCTACCTGTCCCATAAAGCCTAATAGGGCGGACGTGAGGTCCCTTCTATGAAACAGCGTCATTCAGTAAAACCTAGAATGCAGGACTTCTGTCATTATGTCTGCCCTTCGGAACAAAACAATACCCCGTCCCCAAGTAGGATGGCTCCAACTCTGTTGGGTTTCCATAAGACCCTGAAAATCTGGGTTATCCCCAAAGCATTGAGATTGTTAAAATAGGAGTATGGTACGACCTTGGTTGTGTTACAATATGTTGTGCTTCTTGTGATTTTTATGTTTATTAGTTACTTTGTATTTTTAATTCTATGAACATCCTTGTTATGAAATCTGCTAGTTGAGCAGCCATATAAATCATTTCAATAAACTGAACTGAATACTTGTTAAGCCATTTTTGAGAGCAGTACAGAAAATTATTTGGGAAAATGAATTGCGAATGCAAATAAAAAAAATTAGTGGCTGTTCCCATTACTTTACAAACAGTGCCGTAAAGATTTCAGAAAAATTTAAATCTTATTTGCATTCTACATAATGCCAGTTTTACTGTTTAATTTCATTTGTTTAAACTGCTAATTTTAACAATGTAATAGTTGGAATACTTCTGTTTTTCTGGGTAACATCCTGTACACTAATACCATTGATGTAAGATGGGTTTCCACTTCTTAGCTTATATGAAGGCTCAAAGGCTTCCTGTATGGTCAACCACAAGTGCCTATGTCTCCAGTATCCACCCCCATCCCATCTTATTTCCACATTCAGTCATAGTACGCATAGATATTTTGAGAATCTGAATTTATTTTATTTTTATTACATCTTTATTATTATTTTTAAATAACCCAAGATAGCAAATATCCTTAATACTCCATCCTCCTCCTGTTTTCCCCAGAACTACCCAGTGAGGTGAGTTGGGCTAAAAGAGAGACGGACTAGCCCAGGGGTAGGCAACCTTGGCTCTTTTATGACTTGTGGACTTCAACTCCCAGAATTCCTGAGTCCAAATTCCTGAGCCCAAAGGTCACCCAGCCAACTTTCAGGCCTAAAGTGGGACTAGAACTTCTGGTTTTTAGCCTGGGAACCTTAACCACTGAACCAAACAGGGCTCTCATCCTGTATAATATGTCCTGTATCCTGTATATGCTGTATCCTGAATTCTGTAAAATTGTTTGACCTTTCAAAAATCCATATAAATAGTTTGGTATCATTTTTTCCCAAATGCCTTCTAAACAATAGGCAATCCTGCACATTTGTTTTCCTTCAGTTGAAGACATCAGAGACTTTGAAAACTGTGATTATAGATTTTTTTCCTTCCAATTTTGTTCAACATTTGAAGTATGGTTTAATGATTCTGCAATTAAAACCATTAAAGAAGTTTGAAGCTATTAACAGAATAACAGAGTTGGTAGAGACCTTGGAGGTCTTCTAGTCTAACCCTGCATCCTTATTCCGCATCCTTAGGATGATTGCGCATATTTTAACAATGGCAAGAAACAAACTTTCATTTCAGAAACAATGCCAAAAATAACCATATTGTTCTGCTTAGTGATACACAAAACTATTTCCATGTTTAGGGTTTTTAATGTTGCTATTTGCTAAAGAAAATAAAAAGATAGAAACGAAGAATTTGTGTGAATATTTATCGCTCATCGCCTTTTTAAATAGTCTTAATCATGTATTTATATCATACTATGGAATTGTTTAGTTAAATCAATTTGTCTAAAAGAAAGAAGAGGACCTTTTGACCTACACAGTGGTATACTCAGACAAAATTATTCAACAATCCTCCTCCATTCTAGACTCTGAGTAATTGAATGCTTGCTCAAGTATGCAATGAGAAGCAATTCAGACCATTATATAATTGGTAGAGAAATGGCAGTCCTTCCATTCTTGGTAGTATAAATTGCAGCATTAAAAGCGTGCTATATCAAATTATTTTGCCCTCTAGTTCCAGTTTTTATTTTGTGTTGGTTGCACGAGGATAGGTTTGTTAAAGTTTTCATTGGGCAATGTTTGTCCTAGATAATAAATTGAGGTCTTTCTGTTTTACTAAATAAAGCATGTGGATGTATTGTGTCTTTTGCTTAATAAGTCCAGTAGGAATTGAAATGGAGTAAATAGAGGCTTTTAAGAAAACAAATAAGCCTCAGTGCCTTGTGCCCAATTTTAGCAAAATTCTGCCCCATGTAGCTTTTCCTAGTAATGAAATAAAGCAGCCAGTCCAGCAACCTATGTTGTAATATAAACACCAACGAAGCAACTTGAACTTTGTGCACTTTCCTCCCATTTTAAGATCTGTTATGAAAAGAAAAAGGAATTGATACTTCAGTCCACTCTAGTTGTCTAAAGCAGGGCTTTTCAACTCCTGGTTCGCAGCCTGGTGCCGGGCCGCAGCCTGTTCGGAACCAGGCCTTGGAAGTGGTGGGTGAGCACACATGTGTGCATGCACATGAAACTGCATTTGTGAAAGCAGCACGCGTGTGAAACCATTGCCGCTGCCATCGGTTCACTGAGGAACGCTGGTCTAAAGCATTTATCTTGTTGCATATGTTCTCTTTATTTCTTAGATAAACGAAAACATGAAATATACAATTTTTTCCTTCCCTCGCATCTTTAAATTTATAAAATTAATCCGAACCTTAATATGTTTTATGAGAAATATGTTGATTTTCAGTTCATGGCTTTCTTTGTTTATATTCACGCATAACATCCTTTTCAGAGCATCTTTTATGACCAAGACAGTGCAGTATCAGAATGAATTACATAAATTCCTAATATGGGATACAGCAGGACAAGAACGAGTAAGTAGATAAAGCATTTTTAAATAGGGGTTGGTGAAATCTTTCTCTGTGACCTACTATTATTATTATAAGGGATTTTTATAATGCTTGTCTTAATTAGCAGGAGTCACTTAGATATAGTATAGGTGTAGATTTCGTACTAGGGAATTTCAGAATCATTGTCATTGTTTTGTGAAACGATACACTGAGATAAAGGATAGATAAATGCTTTTGTAGATATATTATGTCCCATCTTCATTGACCTCAGTACTTTTTTTAAAATTCTAGAAATAGTCTTATTCTAATATGTCCATGGATTAAGAGAAAATGAGAAAATGAATTGGAAAACAATTTGATGCATAGTAAAAAAAATGCATAGGAAAAAGATAATATCCTTATTTAAATGTATACTAGTAATTACTCTATAGTGCCTGGATCCATGCTAGGCTCTATGTATTCTGGGTCAGTTTATCTTTTGTATTTCAGGAAGTTTAATGACGCTTTGATGATAAGATAACCTAGGAATGGTATAGCATGTGAAGTTAGACTCATAGCAGAAGGATGATTACTTTTCCTCTTAAGACTGCTATTTTAAAATCATTATAATTTTCACTTCCCCATTCTTGGAAATGTTGTTTCAAGTAAGTTGAATTAACATTTTGCCAGTAAAAAATAGGCTCAAAATTTTAGCTTCCCCCCCCTTTGGTGATGTAATTATATCTGCTAGAAAACAAATATATTAAAAATGAAGTCTCCATTGCTCACTTCTTCCTTAAATGATGTCCTGCTTGAGGAAGGCTTTTTCTGTGCTTCATTAATATTTATCCGCTTAGGGCTCCCCCACCCCCACCACACGTATGGATCTAAACAAGTGACTTTCTTGAAAACTGCATGCAAAGCATTTGAAGAGGCATTTCACAAAACATGTTGGCTCCTCTTGAATATAGAGCTGCTTCGGGGCCTTTTCCGTGAATATCTTTTTGGGCATGTATAGACAGTAGTCCACTGAAGCTGCTAGCAAAGCAACTCTGTATTATGGGCAACCCCTCACTACAGGAACTCCCAGCCTTCTGGAGGACAGTGTCATGTCAGCATTTTGAGGAGAGACACTTCAACACACACACTTGCTATTTGCATCAACACACTTTAAGAAGTGCTCCTTTTAAGTGTTTTGCATAGCCGTAATATATAATTGTTACTGCTTGGTATGTCCTCCATTTTATTTTTGTGTTTTCTTTTGAATCTTTAATAAACAAATAAATCACCTGTCCTTAAAATTTAGGAGTGTCTACGCTTACTAGGTATTTTGTGATTTTGAAGTATGAAACACAGGGTAAAAGTATGGCTTTTTACATAAGACCAGTAGTTAATTATCTCAGAATTCTTACCAATCTTCAGGTTTGAATAACAGAATAAACTTTAGAATCTATTTTCTTTAAATATGTCTATATGTGGTTGATTCTGCCATGCTTGAAGAAATAGAGGAATTTTTTTTTATTTCTGAGTAAAACTTGCAGCTCTTGCAACAAAAATAACATGATGTATTGTTAGCTTTGTGACTCAGAATTGTGGTCTTGTCCCCTTTTGTAGCAACTATAGAAAAGGTCAGCGTGACTAAGAATTTGGCTTCTATTTCCCACTCAGCCTTGAACCTAGTTGCTTTGAGAAATTATTTGCTTTGATTTTCTTGCATAGCATGGCGCAAGTATAATAAAACTATATCCTTACAAGCAGCTAATATATCACTCGGGCTGCTTTAATTGCTCAGTAAACAGGATTAAAATTTACCTTTACCTTTTATGATATCTTTTTTCCTCTCCTTTCACTATATCTAAATAATGCATTCTAGATCTTTTGGCTGAAGTTTTAAATTGCTTAAATTGCATATACAAATGAGAAAAAGGTTTTTCCCCATGTCATATTGCACTTATCACTTATATGCCGCTTCATAGTGCTTTACAGCCCTCTCTAAGCGGTTTACAGAGTCAGCATATAGCCCCCAACAATCTGGGTCCTCATTTTACCAGCCTTGGAAGGCTGAGTCAACCTTGAGCCTGTCAGAATCGAACTGCTGGAGTAAGCAGTGAGTTAACCTGCAGTACTGCATTTTAACCACTGCACCATTGTTTGTAGAATAATATGCCATTTTTTAAAAATTTCTAGTTGCTTTATTATAAATCTTTCTAGCAATTGTATGGATACATCATAAATGGATTCATTATATATCCTCATATTCTACCAAAATGCCCATTAGTGTGCTCTATACTATAGTAATATGTAATATTGTGTTAAAGATGGGAAATAAATTATGCCAGCATCTTTATTGCTTTACTTAAAAACAAACAATTGAAATAAAGATATAATCTGTACTGTCCCCTTACCCTTCCTCAATTTATGAATGCTGCCTAAAACTCCACAGAGTATCAAAATGTTTTATATTGGTTAAAGACATAAGAGTTTAGAATGCTCTAGGTATATATAATCCACTGAATTGTGAAGTTTGCTAAGCAATCAGAGCCAATCGCTTTCTCTTTGTTTAAATTGCTTTTCCAAGTTCTTATACTTAGGTCTCATTTAGCTGTATTACTTGTTTATTAGGAGGAAATGTGAGAAAAAAACCTGATAGAGGATCAGGGTGTCTTAAAATGAATTTTATTTTATTTCTCTTACTCATATTTGAATTCCCTTTTCATTTAATATATTAATGTGATTACTGTGGCACAGAAGCCATTTTTATGTGCTCTTTCTCTTTACAGTTTCGTGCTCTGGCACCAATGTATTATCGAGGGTCTGCAGCAGCTATTATAGTCTATGATATTACAAAAGAGGTAAATTAAATGCCTTTGCAAAATCTACAAATTTGCTGTTTTATTAAATTTACTGATCTTGTTGCTTCCATTTTAGGAAACATTTTCAACATTAAAAAACTGGGTAAAAGAACTTCGCCAGCATGGACCGCCCAATATTGTCGTAGCAATTGCTGGAAATAAGTGTGATCTTAATGATGTAAGGTAAATTAAACAGGATCTTATCCAGCTGTTAGTAATATTTTACTACAAATCTACCAGTACAATTTACCAGTACAAACTATACTTAGTTCCAAAAATATGTTGATACTTTAATCCTTAATTAATTTTAATATATTGAAGAAGAGGCATGAAACAGTTAGGCTGTCTCAAAACACATTTTATTAATTTTTTAATATTCACGACTAATTTACTTTCATTTTAATTACCGGTCACTATGTTAATCAAACCACTGAAAGAAAATTGGGCTATGTTTTAAATAACGGATGGAAGGGATGCAGCATGAACTGTATATAACTATGTAAGTGTCTTGCATTGGATTAAATCCTGTTTAGACAGAGAGAGAACAGCATAGTTCCAAAATAATTTGTTGAGTGGAATGCTGGGAAATAGATGTAGGAATACTGAAATTAAGCTTCATTTAAACATCTAATTGCCACCTATCCTTTCCTGGACATACATTACAAAAAATACTGCCTTTTAATTATCAGTAAATCATGGAACCAAATGTTTATGTTTTATGAAGTGCAGAATTATCCACATCCCTTTTGTTGATGTATTTTATTCAATCAATCAGTCAATTTCTATAGCTGCCTATCAATCAGTGACACTGGGCAGCTAACTATTATATTGAACCACTAATGTTTTGGCAGTCTAAAGAGATGTACTACCACTACAAATTGTGTTAAACAAAAACTGATTATATTTCCACATCTCTCAGATAAAGTGTTTTACGGAGTTTGGATTAGTTATATAAATAACTGATAATGCTATGTTGATTTGCAATTAATTTTCTTTGCTAAATGAAGGTAAATCATATTACTTATTTATAGTATGTATTATTTTCCCACCCTGCAGAGAAGTTATCGAAAAAGATGCTAAAGACTATGCAGATTCCATCCATGCAATATTTGTAGAGACTAGTGCAAAAAATGCAGTAAACATAAATGAACTGTTCATAGAAATAAGTAAGTATTCAATGTCAGTAAGTCACTAATATTTTTCTTCTTGGGTTCCTGGTTACTAACAAAAAGGAATCTTATATTAACTTCATGCTCTGCTTCTACCAATTTTACACTCTCTTCATAATTGGTATCATTTTCATTTCATCATTAGGACGTAGAAGTTAATTTGAACTTCCAGATCATATCTTGGCAGAAGAATAAGAAAAGTACCAGCATTAACATTTTTCATTCGGTTAAATGTCTTAACTTTGTTAATATGTAGTGGATTTGTTTCATATCACTAAAAGGAGAAGATATGGAATATACAGTAAGCATTAGAGCTGTGCAAATTTTTTGAAATTAGTACTTCATTGTGTTGATATGAGAGAAGCACCTCTCCTCAAAGTATTAACTATCCACATTATAAATACAAATTCTTGTTCCCAGTTTTCTGTGGTGGTATAAGAAAAATAATACCATTTCTCTCATGGGAACTGAATTTATAAACATGGAGATGTTTTATATGCAGCTGTTCCTATGAACATGTTTAAGCTTCATTTAAGCTATCCAGTATCATGTGTTAATAGTGTATTTTATGATAGTTTGGTACTGTCCAAAATATTTATTTTTGCCTCAGCAAATTGCCAGTTTGTTGTGTAAGAACCTTTGGTTCCATGGAGAGAGAGAGAGAAAAAAATTATCAATATTTCCTATCACTACCATTTATAATATCTAATTAACCTGATAAGACTCTGGCAATTTTGTGTGGTACTTTTATTTAATTAAATAAACTTGAAATGCTAACTTGGTAGGTGAGCTTTTTTCCAGGTTAAATGTAGAGTTAATCATTAATCATTCAACTTGTAAGATGAATTCCAAGCAGTTTGAATAATTTATTAGGTAGTTTACCAGTACTTTTGTTTAATTCAATAAACACATAATCCTAGTATTTGGGGGGTTAATATTTTTATTATAATTTATAATACAATGACAGTGCTAAATTGAAAAGAAAAATAAGGGAAAAAATGAAATTAGAACAAAGAGAAGAAGTAAAAAAAAGAAATTTTGCAATTTTATTGAGTTGTTGCCTTCTTACTCTTTTCCCTTCCTCTTTAACTCTTCCCCCATATCCATAAATCATCAGTATTTCATTCATCCACAAAAATCCATAAAAGGCTTCAAGTCTTTTTTTAAAAGTCTTTTATTGTTTTTTTCCCCCTGACATGTAATTGTTTTAATTGATGTCTTGAGAAAATTCTTCTCTATGTTTTTATGTATTATCAAATTTATGAATGTCTTGTAATGGAGCTAAACTTTAGGAAGGAGTCTCTATTTATTTATCATATTAGTATAGCCACCCATTTTACTTACAGTCTTCCTAAATTGTTCTTTTAATATTGTTTAATGCTGTTTTTTTCCCTACCTCTGCAGGTCGTAGAATTCCGTCAACAGATACCAACCCTCCATCTCTTGGTAAGGGCTTCAAACTTAGGAGACAGCCTTCTGTGACAAAACGCAGCTGTTGTTGATACTGAGACCCACCAAGCTAGCTTTTATAAAGTATTTGGCCTTAAACATTAAGGGTTTATTTTGAGTATCTATTACTGATACTGGATCCTGATCTCCCTGATATTCAAAGACCCCCAACATGGACCATTTCTGGTATTCTTGCATACGTTCTGTGGGGATCGTGCTGTCAGACTGTTTCCATGTGTGCAGTGTACAGACTAATCTCTTACAGTCAAAGGAAAATCACCTTTCATTCTGCTTTAACCTTTGAAGAGGAGGATCCAATGTACAGATTATAAGCCTTGATATTTCATAGTTTTGTAGAAAAACATTGCCATGCTTTTGTAATTGGGGAAATGAAACTAGCACTTTTTGTGGATTTTGGAGGGAGTGGGCTAGAAAGTATGGAAAGAAAAGTTTGGCTTGATTTTAGTGCCATTCTGCACTCCTCCTTGCTGTTACTATAAGCCTTAATGTTTTCATTGTTGCTTCTTCAAAGACTAGAAAAAACAAATGATTGATGTGGCTACCAGAATAATGATACTGGTAAGAGTGACCAAATCAGCCCATTCAGTACCCAATCTTAAATTGCACTTTTTATTTTCTGATATTATTATAGAAATATAAATAAGAACTTTGCTTTTAAGCAAAACAAAAAATAGGGAAAGTGTAGCCTTAGACAATCTTAGCTCATTATATTTAATTATTTTATAGTTAAATAGACATAGACTCTTCTTAATAGACTTCCAGTTAAGATACTAGTAAGAAGCTTAATGAAATAAGTGAAAATTTGACCACAACTGACAGGTATCAGTTGCTGTCAGTAGCCTTAGAGCAAGCATGTTAGGTGGGATATGTTTCTAATTGCTTAGCATAAACCATTTTATACTTATTTATGAAACCTGTGTCTGAAATAATATAAATTATGAAAGTGCCATTGCTAAAGATAGGATTCTTGTTTATTTCTCTCTCTCATTCATGAGATAGATGGATTGTGAAAGAAAGTCCTACAAACAATTGCCGGGAATTCCAGCCTGAGCATGGGGCCTTAAATCAGTTGGCATCCTCTAGAATATTACTGGGAAAGATTTCCCTCACTATCCAGTAGAGGTTGCTGCTAGTGTACTTTGAGGCTTTCTTTGGGAACAAATAATCCAGAAATGGCATTCAGAACTAACTGTCTGGGACAGTGTAGATGTTGCTTCCATGTAGTTGAACTCATCTCGTTACATCCTCTTTTAAACAGATTATTTCTTAGCTTTGATTGTGCTTTCCATTTATTTTAAACTATACATTAATCTTGCCCCATCACATTATTTCTCATCATTTATTTTTGTTGCAAATAGAGAGCAAGCATACCCCATGTTTTTTCTCTTTAAAATATAGGCAGGTAAACTCATCGTGTGTAAAATAATTTATAAGGCTTTGATATTTCCTATTCACTGGAACATATCTGGTGGCTTGCTCTTAATTTGCCACTTAAAAGGGAATTGCAAAGGTTATGTTGGAAATAGAGTTTATACTTTTATATTCTATACCATATAATTCAGCATTATTCTTGGGAAATATTATAGTTAACCAATGCAATTGGAAGCATTGAGTCAAGATAAATTTAAGCCCATGTGAATTTGTCTAAGAATTCAAAATTCTAATTTTGCAGTATGTTGTATGTTTTATCAGAAGTTTCTCTGAAAAAAAAGGCAATTATGGAGTATTTGGCATTCCCACTAATCAAATCTGTACATTAATAATGAAATGTATTGTGCATTCCATCCATATATTTCCATGTTTATGTCATTGGTTTGCTCTGAGTTTTACTTTCAAGAATCAGCTGAGGACATTATGCCACCTAGTCCAAAGAGCCATATACTGGCAATAATTATTTAGAATTGTAGCTTGGAGAGATTGGCATTATAAGTCCAATAGCTTTGACTGTTCACTGTTTTATCAAGGATACAATGTTTGTCCAGCAGCATATGTGGAACTGAATGTGTGAAAGAAAGATATCAGGGACGTATTTACTGGGATGTTTTCAAGGCAGTTTGCTCAGTACATTAAACTGAAGTCTGAATAAGGATCTTTTCCAAGACTTTAATTAGGCTTCAGCAAGAACCTTCTATGCTAGCATTGTACCGTGCCTGAGAAATTCCCATCAAAACTCTGTGCTGTTTCAGAGACCTTTGAAATTTGGCAAGGAACTAACATGGGGTGAGGAAAGCAAAAATTCCTGGTAAATACATTTAGGACCTTGAGTGTTTAAAAGGACTTTTTAGATTCAACCTCATGTTAGTTAAAATCCCTTCTAATGAATTGGAGATAATTAGGCTGCTTCTGTACCAACATATAAATAGAAACATAGACTGCACTGTTGATGTTACCTAGTTTGGGTAAGCAATGTCTGCAAGAAAACAACCAAGTTCAGAGAGCACCAAGGACCCCTCATTTCAACCCTGAGCTACAAATATTCTCCTCTATCAGATAAATCATTGTCCTCCAGTGCAGCCTTATATAGATATAATATTGGAATGCCAGTGCTTACATGCTTGTCCAAACTGTTATTAAAACTTCTTCACATGGCTGTTTTATAATCATTCTGTTTCTTGGTGGTACTTTACTGGTTAGCCTAAACAAGTCTTAAAAATAGTTAATGCCACACATAAAGAGAGGTCAAGCACAAAGCTTATTTTGGAGAATATTAGTCATGTCTGTGGCAGCCAACTTTATCTCTGCATGATAGAAGCACCTTGCCACTATTTAAGGCTTTCATCGTTCACTTATGCCATTGTGATATTAACTACTTTCTTACAATTGCCTATAATTACAGGATTTCTTTTTATTTCACCTTCTCTGTAAACAGAATATTTTCACATATCACCAGTTGCATCTTTTGAAGCTGCTGCTATAGGTAGTCCTCGATTTACGACCACAATTGGGACCAGAATTTCTGTTGCTAAGCAAGGTGGTTGCCATGGTTATTAAGTGAATCAGATGGTCATTATCGAATCCAATTCTCTTCCCCCCCCCCCCATTAACTTTGCTTGTTGGAAACTGGCTGAGAAGGTGGCAGATGGCGATCAAGTGACCCCAGGACACTGTAAGTGTCCTAAATACATGCCATTTGCCAAGTGCCTGCATTGCGATCCTGTGACCATGGGGATGCTGCAATGGCCATAAATGTGAAGACTAGTCATAAGTCACTTCCTTCAGTGCCATTTTAACTTTGAACAGTTGCTGAACAAATGGCTGTAGGTCGAGGGCTACCTCTAGTGTTACCTTGTATTGCCGTGTGGCTCTGCAGAGTGACATTTCAAGCATAAGCTGTGGCCTTGGCTGTATTTCAAAAACTTCTCTTCCTCTCCCAAGTCCATCAACATCAATTTCACTGCCAATGGGTTAGCCTGCCTTAAAGTTCACTGAATGTACTCAATCAAATATTTGTCTTGAGATAATGTAAATCTAAATCCCAACTGATTACCGGAAAATGGGGGTTATTTGCAGTACCTCAGTGCTATCTGCTTATGGCTATGTAAATTAATATGAATTTTGGGCTTTAGATCTCCCCTATAAATATTTGGGAATTTTTAGTTTTCCACTTACTGAAGTTAAATTGTACCACGTGCGTTACTTGTAAAGGGGAAAAAAAATTACCCACCAATCCTGCATTGATGCTAGATCTCATTCATAGGGCTTTTCTGGAGAGGGAGGAAGATCTGGTGTATATAATCGTTATGTAGAGTTATAGCACCCACAAAGAAGTCGAGAGTATGTCCCCTTGTTTTTTGTCTGTTGCAATATATTAGTTTCATGCAACAGCACAAATCTTGTAAGAATGAATAGAGAGGCATCTGGTAAGAAGATGCTGCTCTTGTCATTCAGCATCATGCTTATTCCAGTATAAATTAAGACAAAGCTGAAGATAAGATTTCAATTACTTTGGAGATAGTGAGCATATAAATCCATGTGAAACCTCATATAATACAAGCGAATAACTTGCAATAAACAGCCTGCTTGACATATTCTCAAAGAAACAATTTGGTGTAAGTGCACATGGATTGTGGCTTTGATACGCATATATTTTAAATAGCAAACCTGAAGATCTCTCCCAATATCAGGTATCATTCTACCTTTCGATAAATTGTGGTTTGCACACACTGCAGTAAAATAGTTGGACGTTTATGTAGGGCACTCACTATTTGGTGGCCTATCTAAAATAGTCACCATGCACAAATTTTAAAAACATGACTTAGCATGTAAAAAGCAGTGGATGAAGAGAAAATGTATTTTGTCTTGATTTAAATAATGATTCAAAAGATATCTTTACTGAAAATAACCTTTTGGTGGTGTCAGATCTCTCTTACTACAGTCAGGACTAAAAGAGGTAAACAAGTATCTCCTGACCTGGAGACATTTATTAGAGAAAATGATAAAGGTGGCAGCCTAGGAATTCTGACCCTGCACCCTTAGGGAAGGGGAAAAAGCCCCACTGCTTTGGGGAATGCAGGACATCCTGCACCTGTGCATTGTTTGTACAACAGCTGCTAGGTCTCCCGATCATTATGAGGATCTACTCTCACAGGTAGTTGGATTCAAAAGAGCAAAGGCTCAAAGGAATCTCTTTTAGAATTCTAGTTAAATTTAATGTTATCTAGTTATTTAAATATATATATATGGCAGAGTTATTTTTAAAAGCATATCCAAAATTATCTGAAAACACACCCATCAGAGTTCCAATGGGAGCCTGAGAGATATTCCAGCGTCCATTTGTCAAGATTTAGCATTCAGATTAATAAACATACACATACCTTTCGGGCTGCCCAATGGAATTTAATTGAACTTACATGGTTGTTACTCTATATTCAGAAGCCTGAGTTCAAAGAGTTCTTTCAAGTCAAGTAGCACTGCAGTGTAGAGGATTAGATGGTTTAAGCCCTGCAAATAATGTTACTAGTCACTCAGAAAGAAACATAACATTTCTGGCAAATTATTTTTGGCTTTCTTCTTAAATATGTAGGACCTGCTGACAGTCTTTAGGCATCAGCTGACATTGCTGTATTAATTCCCTTTACTGTTCCAACCTGAAAACAACAGGAAATATACAAACCTGCAGGAAATGGTAGAACTTAAATTAAGGGAAATAGCTGTTTGGTCAGTCACTGTAAGAACGAAGTTAGGTGAGCCAAATGTGGAAAAGTACTCTTAAATTGTTTCGTCTTCCATTGTGATCGAGATCTACTGTAGCTCTTGCGTGGACCTTTAAAGCAAAGAAGGTGAAATGTGTCTTAGCATTTTCTCATATCTTTCCTCTGTCGGTCTTTATTGTTACACTAATTTTTGCTTCTTAAAGGAATTACAAAGCTGGCCTACTATGTCTTTGCTACTGTAAGAGTATTTCCTGCAGTGATTGGAGGAAAGAGAACTCTTGCTGTGAATAGCAGAACTATTTCGTTTAGATCACAATGGGGTGTGCCTTGCCTCTCAACTGGACTCTAGTGTATCGTATTGATTGCACTGCATTTCAGTGGATGTTTTTGGAATGTCCTTTTTCTGTACTGTGTCTGCTGAACAGGAGAGCTTTTATTTTTAGTAGCTTGGATCAGCAAATCTTCCTCTGGATGATCTTGGGGGAATTCTAATTTACAGCAGGCATGCAGCCATTTGAACTGCCTAACCCACCACTCCTCATCTATAGTTTCACTTTATAAATAGCTGCAAGCAGGACTACACACATTTAGGACATTTCCCAATGAAATTATATTTCAAAAGTACCCAGCTTTCAGTAGTCACTTTTCCTTGAGCAGAT